ATTGCTTGCCTTTGAAGAGAACTTAGTGGGGTTGGAATCTAGAGTTAACAACATTATTAACTGGTTGAGATTGGCATCTGATGATGATGGTGATGCTCGGTTCATTGGCATTTGTGGTATGGGAGGTATCGGTAAGACAACAATTGCAATGGCTGTTTTTAATAGATTTTTGCTCCAATTTGATGGAGCTTGTTTCCTTGCCGATGTTAGACAACATAATGTCATTGAATTGCAAAAGACCCTTTTAACAGAAGTCCTAAAGGAAAAATCAAGAGTAAAAATATACAATGTGCAAGATGGAATGGCGAAGATAAGGATGAAGCTTCAAGGGAAAAAAGTGTTGATAGTTCTTGATGATGTAGACGACCAGCTAGAACAATTAAAGAAATTAGCGGGAGGTCAAGATTGGTTTGGTAGGGGTAGTAGAGTAATTATAACCACAAGAGATGCAGGAATATTGCGTTCCCATGGAGTTGATGAAAAGTATATATACACAGTACACACATTGAGAGAGGAAGAAGGTATTCAACTGTTTGGATTGTATGCCTTTAAAAAGAAACCTAAGATCGGCGTGGAACAACTCTGTGGATCATTTGTGCGTTATTGTGAAGGTCTTCCATTAGCTCTTAAAATTTTGGGATCTTCTCTTTGTGGACTAGAGGCTGCTGAGTGGGAAAGCACTTTAAAGGATCTCAAGGACACCCCCAATAATGATATTCATGGGAAGCTTAAGATAAGTTTTGATAGACTAGATTCCAAAAACAAAGAAATCTTTTTACACATTGCATGTTTTTTCAGACACAAGAGGGAAGAATATGTAAAAGATGTGCTTAAAAGTTGTGATTTGCAACCAGACAGTGCTATCCGTAACCTCACTGAAAAATCTCTTATATCAGTGCAATTCCAAAATGGAAGAATAGAGATGCATGATTTAATCCAAGAAATGGGTTGGCATATTGCAAGAGAAGAGAAACGTAGAAGCAGGGTCTGGCAACTTAAGGATGTTGATGACGTGTTAAGCGGAGAAATGGTAAGGCATATATGTATATATAGTAAGTAAGATGCTGTAGAAAAATTATTACTCCGGAGTTGATGATTAAAAATGATGGTTATGCATGCATATATAGTGTGGTTTCTTATTTCGTAGTAAGATTAAGTTATGATGTGGTTTAATTATATTCCTTCCTTCCTAATTAATAAGATCATCTAACTTGAAGGTTCCTTTTTTATTTTCTTCTTCTTATTATTATTGAAGACATACGGTTCTGTTTTATTCTTTCAGGATCCTAAACACGTAGAAGGTATTGGCTACAGTGTTAGTGGTTGGCCTGATTATCGAGAAATTAGTATGAGAGAGATGAGAAATTTGAAGATGCTTAAAGTTGGTCAGGGTTTCCATCTCAAGGAAAACTATCTTCCTAGCAGTTTGAGGTGGCTTCAATTTCACTTCTATCATTTCACTTCATTACCACAAAGCTTTGCATCATTATCCAACCTTGTTTGTCTTTCTTTGCGGTATAGTTCTCTACAAAATTGCAGGATCACTCAGGTATATCAGTCTAATCTCACTTAATTGCTGCATATATATATATATATATATATATATATATATGCATATATATATATATATATATATATATATATATATATATATATATATATATATATAGGATATGATTCAGGTGCAGGTATAGCTTCTTGTGCGGTTGACAAAAAAAGGTGCACCTTAAGAACACAAACCACACACCTAAACTTTTAAAATGACGCACCAAGAAGGAAAACAATACACTTAAAAGAAGAAAAATCACGCACTTAGCTTTAGGCCCACGCGCCTTAAAGCACACAAACAAAACATCTTACGTAGACAAACCACGCACCTAAAGTTTTAAAATGACGCACCTTAAGAAAGGAAAACTACGCACCTAAAGCAACCGCACCTGAGAAGGCCAACGGCCAACCACATGAGAACCAATAAAATGGCGCACCTTAAGTTTCAACAACTGACGCACTTTAAGCATACAAATCACGCACCTTAAGAATGAAAATCATATATGCACCTTAAGAAAGGAAAACTACGCACCTAAATCAATTGCACAACCGCATGATAACCCATTTATATATATATATATATATATATATATATATATATATATGGTGTTTTTTTTTTTTTTTTCATCAATGACTTTATATATACTTGTTCTATATATTCTCCATCTTTTCTTGCAGAAATTAGACAAATTGATACTTTTGGATCTTAGCTGTTCCTCCTCTTTGTTAGAAACCCCTGATTTTGATTCCATGCCAAATTTGATGAGATTATACCTTGGAGGCTGCAGGCATTTAAAAGTAGTCCACCCATCTATTGGAAATCTTAGCAAGCTTGTTTTATTGGATTTAAGTGCTTGCAGTAACCTTGTGAGTCTTCCTAGCTTCAATCAAGTTTCATCTCTCAACTCTCTTGATCTTCACGGATGCAGAAAATTAAATTTTTTTCCAGAAATTAAGACAAGAACACCAGATCTGGTGGAGTTGGATCTAATAAATGTTGGAATCATAAAACTCCCCTCATCGATCAAACAACTGCATGGCCTCACTAAGCTAGGTTTGTATGATTGTGAGAATCTTGAATGCCTTTGTGATGGCATATGTGAGCTGAAAAATCTCAAAGTTCTTAAGATTCAAAACTGCACAAGTCTAGAGTCTTTGCCAAAAAATCTCCAAGGCTTGATCTCGTTGGAATACTTGAATCTCAATGGAAGTTATTTTCATTCTTTACCTGAAAGTTTCAATCGACTCCCTCGCCTTCAATACCTTGACATCAGAAATTGTGGAAACCTTAAAGAGCTCCCAAAACTCCCAGAAACTACCAGTGAACTATATGCAGATTCTTGTTTTGCCGATAGGGAACACATAGATGAGTTAGCAGACTTCCCGGTATTACAATCAGTAGCATTCTCTTCCTCTTATGGAGTTAAAAGGTCAGTGTATGATTTTGCTGAGATGTGTATTCATTTTCCGTCTCGTAGAAAGACTACTTTCAGTGTTACCTATCCATTCTATTCATCAATGGAGGTCTTGAGAATATTCCAATATCGATGCTATAAGTCAAATGGTATCGCCATTGATCTCAATCCCGGCTGGTATTGTCAAAGCTTTGTGGGATTTGCAGTACCTTTGTACTCCTTAAGAGACATTGCTGATTTTGAGCATTGCACAATCATAGTCAAATTGTCATGCAAAGATAATAGAAATGAAGTTGTCCAAAGAAAATATGTCATTGTCATATCCGAAGGAAGCATATGCTTTGCCTACATACCATTTAGTGGTTTGTGGCCTGCAAAATCTAATAGTGTAACCTCAAATGATTTTTCAAGATTTGAGGTGAATTTTATGGATTCGGAAGCGACTGCAAATTGGGGTTGTAGTTTGTTATATGAAAGGTAAACATGTTGATTTCGGTTTCCCTTCATTTACCTTCTTTCTTGAACTTTTTAATACTCTGTACTACATATATATGTTACTTCAATAGTAGCTATGGATTTGTATCAAGCATGCTTATTTATTTTCTAAGATAAGTATTAACTTGTACATTTTAATTATTGAATAAATAAGCACAATGTTTATGTATATTGCTTTTACCTTTTTAAGGTGGGAAAGATCAGCAAGTTGGGATGATAGTTTTGAAGGTACTCATACTTTGTTCCTTTGTACTATTATATTATATCGTACTACTACTATATTATAGATATTTTGTACTCTTAGGTGGACATTTGGTTTCAAATAGAATATTCTCAGTATAAGTCTATAAAATATCTATGGTAATAAGAGTACTTGAGCATGTATAATTATATTGCATAATTTTAATCGATTCAAGTTAATTGTGCAAAAACTTTCACTTTGCCATTTAAAATACACACATGTACATGAGTATGTGTACTTAATTTCTTTCTGTGTTTATAAGTTTATTAATGTGTATATAATTAGATATATCTATATATTAATTAGGACATTAAACAAAAATTATAAAAAATGTCTCTTTGATATCAGGAAGCACGACTGATATAGGACCTATCTCCATGTTGGAATACTTGAATCTCAGTGGAAAGAAATTTGAATATTTACCTGAAGATATCAGCCGATTCCGTGGTATTCAATACCTTGACATAAGTGGTTGTAGAAGGCTTAGAAGAGAGCTACCAAAACTCCCGCCTACTATAAGAGAACTATATGCAAATTCTAATTTGGCTTCTGAAAACAACATAGCTGAGTTAGCAACCCAGTATTCAGAACTATATTCTGTCTCATTCTCTTATCCTTCTATTTATAGAAGCAACGACATAGCTGATTTAGTACCTGGGGAGTTGGCTAAGAAGTTTATTCCTATCACACAGCCTTTTCTAAATAGAAATACTCCTTTTGTTGTCACCTATCCTCTTATGTCTTCCACTTATTCTGATATCAGTAGATGCTTCAAGTATCCTCACCATGATCCTCACCATGATCCTCACAAGATCTCCATTTCTCTCGATCCCACCTGGTATAATCATAACTTTGTGGGGTTCGTTGTATGTTTTGTGTTTCCATGGGAAGTGAGATGGGAGTCGCGACCAAACATTCGCCCTTTTAGGCATTGTGAGCTCATAACCAAACTCACACGCAAAGATAATGGAAGTGAACCTCCTCTCCAAACCAAATGTGAGATTCACAGACTATATGATGAGGAATTTGACGACTCTGTGGAAATACTTGTATGTTTTGCCTACATACCATTTAGTAGTCTGTGGCCTAAATCTGATGAGGCTATCATGGATAATATTACCCCCAATCACTATTTGGTATTCGAGGCGGCAATTCAAGATTTGGAATTTCCATACCATGAACGGTTGAATTATATTGGGGGCTTTGGGTTAGTATCAGGTTTGAAAGCTCCAATGTATAATACACCCCATTGAAGTTGCGGTTTGTTGTATACAGATGATGAATCAGTAATTGACGCAATATGGAAAAAAAGGTAAACATATTGGGCTTGAAAATTATTGTTATCTTTTAAAATTCTGATTTTCTTTTTAAGTTTTTAATGCCACATACTCTTTTATGTTCAATACTTTTTTGCAGTTTTTTTTTTTTTTTTTTTTTTTTTTTTTTTTTTTTTTATATTTGATTTAGGCTAAGGAATTATATATTTCTCAAGAAAGCGACAAACTTTTGTAGTTCTTTCAATTACTAAATTAAAAAAATAAAATTGCTTATGCATTATTGTGCTTCTACCTTTTAAAGGGATGTTGGTTTTTCTTACAGGGAGATTGGTTCTAGTGAGAGTGATTCAGGTACTCATACATCACCCAAGATTTATATTAACATACATATTCTATATTCTAAATTATATTTCATATAGCTTATATTCTTTAATATTTTGTATGAGCACATATCCTAACAGCAAAAGCAAAACCATATAACAAACTCTACTTTGACAATGCTAATAACAAGTTTAGCCATATCTAACCTTGTCAATTGTTTTTCCTTTCTACTCCTGATTTTCTTGAGTTTTTAATTTAACATTCTTATAACAAGAAAGTAAGTAAACCGCTATTCTCAAAGACAATTAGATTACACATTAGTTATGATTTATGATTTTGGGACAACATTTTCAATACTTAATAAAGTCATATCACTTATCGTCTAATTAACTATTTTTCAATTCGACTTTAAAGTCACTATTCATAGTGCAATATCCAATAGAGAGATTTTACTAAATAATAGGCATAGACTCTAAAACAGAGGAAGAGGAAAATGGCGGATCAGAAAATAATGAAGATAGTGGTGGAGATGATGCAATGAGCAAAGACAGTACCAATTCAGGTACTTTATTCCGTACTATATTTCTCTGTATGGATATATATATACTCTTTGTCTCTTTAATATTTTATGCAACAAAGGTTTTTCCGGATATCAAAAGTGGTTGAAAATTCCATAATTTCCAGCAGTGGGTCATGGGTTTGAATCTCTGTGGAGCGGCATTGATTTAAGTAATTTATGAACACATACTACATTGTAATAGAGTCAATAGAATTAAAAACACAACACATACCATGCAAAAGTTATGGAATAACATTTTTTTTAAAAAAATAAAAGGTTAGGCTAAATGATATTACACTATATTATATTACTAGTAATTCACCCGCGCAATGCACGGGAAAAAATTATGTTATTATAAATAATATAAATAAAAAATATAAAAACTAAAATATTTTAAATTGTTTAATATAATAATATTTTTTAGCTTCCATTGGTCAAGTATTTATTATTTTTATAGAATACAAAATTAAAATTAAAATTAAAATTAAATTTTGTATGGTTAATATAATCTCTAATTATGTGCATATTCAAATAAACTTATAGAGAGAATTTACATATAATTACATTGATTTATTCTTAATTGTATTTCATCTATATTATAATTTTCACAATACGAATAATAACTAAAATAATTACATTTGAAAAGCAAATTTCAAATTTTGTATGAGTAAATTTAAACTCTATTTGAACACATTTTTTATATTATTATATAATATATAGGTATTTTATTTTTCAAAAGTACATTTTTTATATGATTATATAATTATATAATATATAGTTATTTTATTTTTCAAATGTTGTGCTTTTTTTTAAAAAAAAATAAAGGATGTTGTGGCATTAATTGTAACATTAATTACTTCCCAAACCGTATAGCTTTATTATAGTTAAGATATACATACATTTAAATATACAAACATGCATTAATTATGCATACACGCACTTGTATGTATGTATGGATTTTCTTTTGAATGGACTAAACTATAATTTTTCTGGTCTGCAAAAAAAGTAACATATATCAAAGGAAATTATTAGTGAAAAAATTTAAAACCTTTAAATGTGAGTGAAATGATAATGACAATTTTCCAAACCTTTGAAATTCAAGAATTAATGTATTCTTCATCAAATGATAACATAATGCAAGGTAAAAATAGTATTATTTTATTGTTATTATATATATCTCGCTCTTTCTGTCTCTCTTACACACACATAAACATTCAGTATAAAGGATAGTTATGTCATTTTAATACTTTTTTTTTTTTTTTGAAAGGAGCCCGGGTGGCATTTTATTCAAAGTAATGCGAAATTGAAGCTGGTGGGAGTACATCCCAATACATAACTGTAGTCTGACTAATAACTGAAGTAGCTAAAGCATGTGCTATATAATTCTCTAATCTAGGAACAAAAACAACTAAACAAGAATGTAAAGAAGAAATTAAATTCCTGCAACCATCTATTGCGTAGCCAACATATGATCGATCGGTACGAGCTGTAGTAGTTAGATATTGCTTGACCGTTAAACAGTCCGTGTGTAGTTCCAAATTATCCTCACCACGATTTTTAAGCCAAGACAAAGCTTCCTTACATGCAAATGCTTCTGCTATAAGAGACGAGAAATAACTTGGAAGTGAAGAAGCATAGGCGAAGATATATCGTCCATTTCCATCCAAAAGAACTGCACCTACCGAGGCCGTATTTGAGGCGTGGTGATAACTCGCATCCACGTAGCACCTGCGAGCGAGCTGCCCCGGCGAAGGCGTTGCATGGGGTTCGGCAAAGGAGGCCAAGGCCGTATTGGCGTGTGTTGAGCCGGCAGCATGGTGTTCGGTTACATGGTGCACGGCGCGCCAGGCTTGCATCGTGGTGGTAGCCGTCATCAAGGTCTTCTTCGGCATTGGTATGTAGGCATCCCAAACTGCATTGTTCCTTGCTCTCCAAACATGATATAAAATTGCAGCTGCATACATCAGACCATCAGTGTCTAGATTATCCAAGATCGTATTAAACCACTCATTAAAAATATTTGTCTTAATAGCAGGGATTGGGAGGTTGGCTTGCCCCCATACAGCCTTGGCATAGTCACACGTGACTAACGCATGCATGGTATCCTCATGAAACATTCCACACATAGCACAATTAGGCTCAATATCAACTCTTTTGTTAAGCAGGTTCATAGTAGTGGGTAGAATGTCACTCAAGGCTCTCCATTGAAAGGTTTTCCATTTTGGGGGATTTTGAGTGTCCATAGCACCTGCCATTTATCAAAGGATGTACTCGTATTATCATATCTCCCAACAATACATATATATCCACTCTTCATAGAATATATTCCTCTTGGATCATCATGCCAATACCGTGTGTCTTCATATTCTGGTGATACGAGAATTTTCATTATTCTGGATACATCATCTGGCACAAAAATATCAGATAAAATCGAGGTATCAATTAAACCTACCACTCGTGCATTAGCCAGTTGTGGTGGCATTTCTGTTTGGATCATTGGTTCCTGCTCATCCTGCAGCCAGGGTGATCCCATATTTTTGTATCCTGCCCATTCTCTATCCTTCGCCGCACACCACTACAAACCATGCTCTTTGCTGCCATAATACTTCGCCAACAAAAACTTGGATTATTCCAAGGTATGCCTCTGAGAAAGTATCTTTCGGATAATACCTGGCCTTATAGACACGCGCCACTAGGGATTCTGGCTTTGTTAGTAATCGCCATGCCTGCTTCCCCAACAGGTCTGAGCTCTTTAAATGGTCTGAGCTCTTTAAAACCCAAGCCACCATATTTCTTAGAGATACATAATCTATCCCATGTCTTCCAATGTATTCCCTGATTAGTGCCTGAGTTCCACCAATACCTATTCATGGTTCTCTCTATAGAAGAAACAACATTCATAGGTAGTAAAAAAATACTCATTGAGAAAGTGGGCATAGATTGAGCCACACTTTTCAACAAAATTCCTTACCAGCCTGGGAGAGATGTTTCTTATTCCATGATCCAATTCTCTGCTTGATCTTCTCCTTAATATAAGAGAAGGCTGCCTTTCGATTTCTACCAATAAAAGACGGGAGTCCAAGGTACTTAACCAAAATTCGGAGCCTGCACCACCCCTAGCGCCTGCGCCACCATGTCCCTATCCTCATCATTAGTATTGGGGGAGCACCCCGAGCCTCTGCATCCATGTATTTTATTATTTGATTGTGCCTGCTGCAACAGCATGGAGAGCCCCTAGATAATAAACAGATATGGAGACAATGGGTCTCCCTGTCTTAAACCACGAGTAGGTGTAACTGAATCAGTACGAGAGCCATTTATCAAAAACCTGTACGATACAGTAGACACCCATAACATAATTAAATCCACCCATTTTTTATCAAATCCCATGGCTACTAGCATCTCATGTAAGAAAGACCATTCCATACGGTCATATGCCTTTGCCATATCCAATTTTAGGACAGCTCAGCCAACAGCACCACATTGTTTCCTGTGCAGATAATGCCCAACCTCCGATGCTATCAATATATTATCAGTTATAAGCCTATCGTGTATAAATGCAGTTTGGGAATCCGATATAATCTCATCCATCAAAGGTTTCATCCTATTAGTCATTACTTTTGCCATTACCCTATATATCACATTGATTAGCGCAATTGTCCTAAGATCAGACACTCTTTCCGGGGTTTGTTTCTTTGGGATCAACACCACATCAGTTTCATTTAGAGTAGCCGGGAAGCAGCGATTTTCCAAGCAATTGACTATAAAAGATGAAACATCCCCCCTACCACATCCCAAAAATGTTGATAGAAACCCGGATTCATTCCATCATTAGAGATTCATTCTGTGCTGGAGTGACACGCGGTGTAATATTGTTAAAGAAATTTTTCCCATTCTCCGGGTTTCCCGAGGTATAAATATTTTGAAAGTACTGCAAAATAATCCCCCTCATAGGCTCCCCTTCCACCCAATCCCCATTATCATTCATAAGCTTTTCAACATTATTTTTCTTTCTACGGTGAGTGGCGTACCTGTGAAAGAATTTGGTATTGGCGTCGGCACCCTTGAGCCAGTGTTGCTTGGCTCGTTGTCTCCAGAAGGCATCCTCCTGTGTCTCAGTATGGCATAAAAGTTCCTCCAAGCGCCGGAACTCAGTTAACGAGACGGGGTCCGTTTTTCCTTACAGGCGCAGCTGCTCCTTTCGTAAATTCATAGTTTGTTCTCCGAACTTATGAAACCTGTCTCCACCCCACCGAGATAGCCGAGACCCACAGAACTCTATGCAATTTTGCAGCCCACGGTCCTTTCCTTCTTCCCATGCTTTTTCCACAACATTCCGGCATCCCTCATCATACAACCATGCATTTTCAAAACGGAAGCCCCTCTTACCAGCCCCACCCCTCCCTATGGAGTCATGGATGCTTAGAAAGAGAGCCGAATGATCTGACCTGCAAGTTAATAAATTAGACACTTTCGCTCCTGTAACAATCTCGCGCCACTCATCCGAGTCCAAGACTTTATCCAACCGTTCCTCAATCCTGTCAGCCGTTCCTTTTCCCCTTTCCCATGTAAACGGATACCCCTGCATGGCCATCTGGGATAGGCCACACTCCTCAATAGCTTCCCAAAAACCGCGTAAGAGGCTATCTGAATGTGGATTTCTCCCTCGTTTCTCGTGCTGGAAATGAAGATCATTGAAATCCCCAACCACCACCCATAGCAGATTAGACTTGGTAGCCAGTGACCGTAACATTCCCCATGATTCTCCGCGTCTGGTTCGCTGTGCCAATCCATAAAAACCAGTCATTTGCCATTTTGGAAATCCATGCATACTGACCTCAATATCAACATGGTTATCTGAATAGCTGAGAAGACTAGTTGTATTATTCCTCCGCCACAACAAAGCTATACCACCCTTCACA